TGTGTGTGTGTGTGGAATACGTGATACTCGAAGTTTTGTTTATATTTACTTTCAAGTATGGAAAAGAAGTTTATTGTTAGACAAGAAAGATAAAAACAAGTAACAAATCGATTTTACGAGCGTGTGTATTTTTATTTTGAATTAAATGAAAAATCTTAGTACCGAAAAGTAAAAATCATTTGCAATAATAATTTACAATACTCGAATGATTCTTGCATAAGACAAAGTAGTGGTTTTTTTTTTTTTATAATTATTCTCGGTATCGTTGACTACACGTCTCTTTCGAAATATCCTGTCACCTTTTATAGCCATTTTATTCTTTTTTTTTCCTTTCTTTTTATCTTTGCACATGAATAATTCGAGTTTAGAGGTCGGATAAAGAAGAATATCAAAAGTTACACGAATAATTTGCCGATTTCGCGAATATTTTTATAAACTTACGTATAAAAAGAAGAAGAAAATCTTTGATATGTTTGATAAAAATAGTAATTTAAATAATCGATAAAATCAATTGAAATTGAAATGATTCAAAGAAAATATACAGAAGCAAGACTGTAATCATGAACGAGGATATAATTAATGTGGTAAGAACGTTATACGAAGTTATGCAAAGTTCAACGTTCACGGATAAAAGAGATGAATATAAATGAATCGTTTTAAAAAGTCTTCTCACACACAGTTTTCTTCTTCTTCTTCTACTGATAATTAATTATATAACCGAGATATATTTTATCCGTATATACTTATTATTATTATTTCGAGTTATTATTAAAACACAAGCTACGATTACTTTTCTCCAATTATCTATCTGGAACGGTTGAGAAGAAATAAAATTGGAATGTGAGACGGTACAGAAAATGAGAAGAAGAAGAAGAAAAGGAAAAAAAGATGAAATTAAACACGGAATGAAATGAAATAATTAAATTCTGACAATCCTCGACAATAATAAAGATTCCGGAAAGTAAAAAAAAAAAAAAATGGAATTTACATTCGTATCCTCTTTTAGGTTTTGCGAATCACGTTGGGTTGGTTTCCTTCCTACTCTTCTTCTTCTTCTTCTTCCTGTCCGCCTACGAATGATTCTCGGCTCGTTTTTTTTTTTGCTACGAAACGAGCGCAAACTTGAAAAATAAAGTAAAGAAAGAAGAAAAAAAAAAGTACTGAGGGTATAAAATGAAAAGAGAAGGAAAAGTACGAGCGAGTCGTGACGAGCGTACCGTGTTTTACAATACGTTTTAAAATACGTGACCGTGAATGTCCCCCCCTTCATTCCCTTCTCCTTTCCTTTACCGTGAGAAGAATAATTTTCTATTCTTTTTTTTTTTTTTTTATATCGATATTAAAAAGTCCAACGCACGTTTGTTTCCTTTTATCGTTTTACTTTTGAAAAATGAGATTGAATTTTCTAATAAATTGTTCTATCTACGATACCAAACAAAAATATTAACAATTATTTATTGTAATTAGCAATTAATAGAAATATTTGCTATAGCAAATTTGGTAAGAGGTTAAGTTCGACCGATCGGCCATCTTGTCGGGAACATGGCGACGGTCTTTATACGAGATATATAATAATGTAACATATACTTTCTATTATATACAATATTTGTATTGACGTGCAATATATGTGTATACTAAAAAATGATTGAGAAAACCAACATAGAAAACATGGTTGAACATTATTCTCTATCTACTTCCGGAATCCCTGGCGAGGGTGTTTGCTGCTCACGCCTACGATGCAAGTATCATTTTAATGGTGTAAAAAAATCACTTCTCCGGGCGATAACCACGATTATATAAGACGTGTATATTATATATCCATACACACACACACACACATTTTGTCTATCTATGAGTTTTGTAGATGCTAGTCTTCCCTATAAAACACTCACGTAGCTTCTATTAAGGTCAACTGGTTCTCCTTTTACTTCCAACCAAGATGAAATCTTCTCAATTGTTTATCTTATTTTATTTATTATTTATTTTTATTTGTTACTAAACTAATTATCATTTATAATGTAATATTCAAAGTTTCTAATAATATTAATTTATAAAGTTAATTAAAAAAATAAAATTGCATAAGTTAAATTAAGATTGTTTACTTTCTCACGTTCCACAAACGTTTCAAGTTGGATTTGATTTCCCTTTAGGTATTTCGCATCAGGTATTGATTTATCAAAAGAGAATTGTTAATTCGTGAAATACAGTGATACCCAAAGGGAACATTGAACGCCTACTTTTAGTAATTCAACGCGTGGTATGCAACTATGGGCATCGAGATATCGAATATCGCGTCAATAAAAATCTACTCTTGAGATACCAACAGCGAGCTTTCCCATCGTCCCTTTGTTCTCCTGTATTTCGCATTCTCTATAAGCAAACTCTTATAGTTTTATGACGAAGAATCGATGGTGGTGTTTTTATTTCAATGCAAACGATCAGAATTTCTCAAGCATTTGTAGTAACGGGTGTTCGTAAAACGTACAATCAAAAACTATTACAACGAAATAATGATAATAATATTAAAAAATAAAATAAAATAAAAAAAAGGAAGAAGATGATAGAAAGTATCACGTTTTAATTGTAAACACGAGTAAATAAACAGACGACGTTGTAAAACACGTTTGTAATCGTTATCCGTCGTAGAATTGTCGATAAAAATGAACATAATCTGTTTCAAACGTTAGAACGTAATGTAAACACTGTGTATAATTGCGCTTATGCTATTAACTTTAATGGTTACTATATGAGATAGAAATTATGACTGAGAGAAATGGAGGAGGATATATTTCTCTCTCGTTGGTAGGACTCCTTGTAAAACGATGACTTCTTGAACGAGGTTAAGAGTTTTCTCTCTCATTCTCTTTCTCTTTTTTTCTTTCTCGTTGGTTGGTTGGTTGGTTGGTTGGTTGGTTGGTTGCTTGCAGGCAGGCAAGCTAGCAAGCAAGCTAGCAAGCGAGGTCAAAGAACTTCAATGACGAGTTTCAAAGCTCCGAACTTGTGTCACATGAAGAAACTACCGTTAATGCTCACGTCCATTCGTTACTATTTGAATACCAAAGATCATCTCGATAATAATTTCCAATTTATTTCTACGTGTCTAATGCAACTCATAAATCATCCTTTGTTTTACTACAATTTCTCTTACGACGATTCTTCATTTTTTTTTCATTACGTAATTTCATCTTAATTTTCAAGGTAACTCAATCATTTTATCATTTCATTCATTTTCATATTATGACTTTTATCATCTTATATAAATATTTCTTCTTTTTCTTTAGATAAAAAAGTTCATCGATTTTTATTGAAAAAAAAAAAAAAATAATAAGGTAAAGAAAGTAAAAGATACTTTCTCCCATGGGATACATGAAAATACCACACTCCGTAGGTTTTACGGTTTATCAGGGGGGAAAAAAAGGAAAGAGTCTAACTGGTGAGATAAAGAAAGATAAAATGTGAAAAAAAAATAAAGGGAGAGGACAAGTTTACTCCGCAGTAGTAGTAGTAACCTTTAGGGATCTAGTCGTAACATTTTTCTTGTCCTTTTACCTACATTTTTATCTACCTTTATGGAAAATTTCGGTTTCTCTTTTACCAGGAAAATTGTACAATTAAAAAATCATTTAATTGTAATTACTAATATTACAACATTGAGTGTCGAAAATGATATGATGGGAAAATTGAAACGATACTATGATTCATTTTTATTTTCCATTTGTTTCTTTTTGTCAATTAGTAAAATTATGGTTTAACGATAAGGGCGTATAAAGAGACGTTTTAAACATCGACTATTACGATTTAACGAGCTTGAGAATTTAGTGCTTCACTTTAAAATGCTACCTTCTTCTTCTTCTTCTTCGTCCTTCTTCGATGCTCGATTAGATTGAATTAGCCTGAAGGCATGAGTAGAATCCAAGAAACGATCGTTAGAACTCAATCAACGATAAGATTACTTTCATTTTATAATCTAACTTTAATCAAGTATTTTTTCTTTATATAAATCTGTACAAAATTTCTATTATTTCTATTATAATTCATTTCAAATGAAACATCTTTTGTACAATTATAATTAAATGAATTTCAAGTGTAATATCACACAAGTAGCACATGTAATATCATAAAAATATACAATTAAATCTACACCACATATGCATGTAACATTCTTGAGATAAAAATGATATGACGAATCATTTTGAAATTAGCATGAATAATATCAACGTTAAGAGAAGAAAGAATCGTTAAATCTGATACAACGTCTAATGTTATTTTATTATCTTTTTTTCTATGAATGCATAAACATATTTCACTAACAAAACAACAAGAAATAAATTAAGGAACGATAAGATTAAAAACAATTAGGGTTCTTATCGTAAATTAGTTTCTTTCTCTTTCTACCATTAGATGTCCTTGAATGGACCCGAATAAAACGATTACAACTAACGATTATCGTTTGAACTAGTGAAAAACTTAGTTCTTATTACGGATAAAACTAAAACGAATGTAATAACACTTTATATAATAACGTGTAGGTGAAAGTTTGTTAGAGTTCAATTACAACGAGATATCTTTAAAAACTTTAGAAAAATCGATTAGGTTAACGATAGTATCTAAAATTCGATTAGCTAATTCAAAGTAAAAGAAAGAGAGAGACAGAGATAAAATGAATTTTACAATGAAAAAAAAAAACTTGTTCAATTAATGACTAAATTTTCGAAAGAAAATACCTTAATCTCTGATCAGTTTGCAAGTCACACCTTGGTTTTATCCAAGAAGAAAAGAAAATTCAAAGGAAAAGGTTCATCTCCCTTTTTTCCCTTTCCTTTTTCTTTTCTTTCTTCGTACGACCTTTTGAAAGGAGAGAATCGAGGGACGTTCTCTTATTGGCCTTTTCCTGCTACTTTTCTCTCTCTCTCTCTCTCTCTCTCTTTCTCTCTTTTTGTCTGTCTATCTATCTCTCTATATGTTTCTTTCTACCTAACTTGATCTCTTGTAAAACTCACCGGACGAATGAATATAACAGCTTCTCTCTTTTTCTCTTCTTTCTTCTTTTCGTTCGTGAAAAAGAAGATTTATATATATTTTTTTTTGGTTATACTTTTAGTTCCGATGTGTGCACCCACCGAATATTTCACACCTCTTTTTTTTTTTTTTTTATATAAAATTCACCTCCCGATATTGAACGTTTATCTCTCGTTAAGCTTCATCATGTACTCTAAGTACACGCATGAATGATAAAGAGAGAACAAGATATTCAACATGCAAAATGTAATAAAGAAACACAAAGAGAGAGAAAGAGGAAGAGAACTATCAAACTAGATTTAAATTATAACGAAAATTATTAACGAATTCTTTTTTTTTTATTTATTTATATAATATCTGTCTGTCTGTCTCTATCTCTTTCTCTCTTTCTTTCTTTTAACAATAATACCGAAATGTTGTCCCGTGGTCCTCGAATGAAAAGAACAAAAGAAAAATTAGATAATTGTTAGAGAAGTTGGCGTGGTACAAGATGAATGAATGAGAACACGTCTGCCGCGAACGGGGCCCGAAGAGCGACTGACCGCGCCGAAGGGTTTGCTCGGGCCCCACCACCCGCCATCTTGTCGGTGCGCCCCCACGCGTTCGAGGGACGAACATTAATCCCCAATCCCAGGTGCGTACATTAGCCCCTCTCCTTACTTATTATGTCTATTTGTTTTTATTATTAATATAATTATTCCTATAATAATATTATAATAAACAAATATGGTGTATTTTCTAATGCTCGAATTTTTTTTTCTGCAACGTGTACCAATAAATAATTTCTTTATTTTTCCCCCATATGAAAAATAATAAACGTAGTTCCAATTATTGATGCAAATAAAATTTAAAGATTATCGGATTATTCTTGTAGAAAAAAAAAAAAAAATAAAGCATAGAATGTAACGATGAATTAACAAAAGTTCTCGCATTACCACGAATTTTCGATTGAAGAAGCTTAACTCTTTATATGAGTTTGCTTTAGGATTCTCGACTTGTATTGTATCGTATGACCATGCGGAAAGACCGCAGCCATGGCAGCAGCAGACATCCTAGCAGTATATATAGGAAGAGAAAAAGAGATGGCACAGCAACTCCTTCTCTCTTTCTACGGTTCGTTTGCTCGTTGGCCAAGGTTTTCAGCTCGGTGAATACACGGTGGTATCCATGCCGAGAACCTGTTCCCCCCGTAAGAGGGCTCGCTTTGACTCTTTAAAGGCTACGTTCCGATATTATTTCTCTTTCTATTATTTTTCCTTACGTTTGCCTTTTTAACGTGAGACCAAGAATCGTCAGATTTTTTTCTAATGGTCCTAACAAATCTATTACGCCATTATAAGATAATCTTCTAGACGTTTGAATTAATATTCAAGGTTACAGAACAAAAAGAAATGATCCTGAAACTTGTGGTTTCCGTTTGGGGTTACATTTTTGAAGTATATTACATTGATATAATTAGATTATCATGTTTTTCATTTTGTTTATTTCTTTCTTCATATTTATCATGCTTCCTCGTTATGATACTGACCTCGAATTCAACGGCCAACATTTATTATCTCCATCGATTTAATTATTATTATTTGTAATTAGCGTGACCTGCGGCTCCGCCTCGCGTGCAGTGCCCTGTTCTCTCTCTCTCTCTCTCTCTCTCTCTCTCAATCTTTCCCTTTCTCTTCCTTTCGTTTCTTCGTCGAAGTAACGCTGTTGTACTACGCAGGATATTCTCTCCTCGTCTGCGTAACACCGCGTCGAGAGATCCACCGTTCACCCACAACTTTTTCCTTTCTTTTTTACGCTAACGTGTAGAGTAGTAGTAGCACGGTATAGCAACGGAGAAACCCCCCCCAGGGCCGTAACAAGTCCGAGCTCGTCATAAAAGTGTGCAAGAAAGGCCGCAAGAACTCCTTCGTTCGCGTGACGTGTTGTTTCCTTTTCCTCCTCCTCCTCTTCTTCAACCTAAAACGAAATGGCCTATCATTTATTTTATCTAAGACGTTTTACAAGCTTCTACTACTTTTAATAGACATATCATTTTTTTATTTATACTTATATTTCGTACGATGTATTCAAACAAATTGTAGGGTCCCACAATTGCATTATAGTCTAGTACCCGCCTTCGCAAACTTGACTCCTTAAAAGGAATGATCCGGGTCGAGTTGTGGTATACTTCACGTAGACTTCTCGATGAATTTCGAAACTTCTTCTTGAAAGCAATTCTTCGAAAAATATAATGACGCATATATGTCTTATATAGGGTGACTTGAAATAACAAATACACATAGCCCAAATTAACCTGCAATGGATTAATGATATACTATATAATAATGATAATTGATTAAAAATATACACGAATGATCTTTTATGATATAAAAAATAAATATATACCGCATCATTCCCACAGATATTCTATGAAATATTATTGAGAGAGAAAAAGGTATATATACTTTATGCAAGAGAATAGAATGTTAATAATAGCAGCGGGAGTACTGGCGTTTACAGACTGCAAATGGAAGAAGAAAAAAAAATTGAAAGGTTCGCGAGAGTAATCGCGCTTAATCGTTCGCGATTTGGTCTAATTGAGATCGTGGGGGGCTTTGAGATTTGGCCCTGACATCTATTACCACTACCTTTTACTCTAACATGAGCATGTGATTGCAACGGTTATGGATGCAGTTGGACGAGTACATACTATAACATAAATGTATGCATCTAGGTATTATTATTGTATAAACGTAACATCATTTTCCATACCTTTTTTGGGGATCACATAGTGTAACGTGCACACATACACCTTTTTATTCTTCTTTTCAAATTCATACTATTTTTTTCAACAGGTATACGTATTAGTAGTTGCTTTATCTATATCGTAGATCAAGATGTTTTAAGCCGTACCACCATTGCAAATCGATTCGGAAATAGAAAAGGAAATTGAATCACCAGACAATTTCCTATGCTATCGGACGGACATGGAACTTCAGTTGATTTCAAGAATCCCTTCTATTACACCTCTAATACTAACGAGTTAAACAATTGAATATTACTTTAATTATAATATTTAAAAATAAATGAAGTATGCATTAATTTGAAAGTAAAAGTATTTCATACTAGATATTATGATAAAACGCGAAAGAGAAAATGGTAGTAAGTGTTGAAAGTAATTTTGCAAGCAGCAGGTACACATGGGGTCCTCTCCTTTCTTGAATATATCCAATATCTTTGGAACGGGCCATAGGTCCCAACAACGTTGTACACGTTCCCTGAACCTGTCTCCATGCATCGAAGTCTGCTTGCTCACCTGCATTCCATCAAGCTTGCCCTGGAGGGGAATCTTTCGGGACCCTCAGGGTCGTATTACTTACTGCGTAGATACCTTTAATCCAATCTTTCTACATTATTACGTTAACACCCATATTGAACGGAGTATAATACAGATATTATACAATATATATAAACGTATACTTGCATATATGCATACATGCATATTAATTTTACGATATCACAGTCTCTCATATTTCGAATTTATTTTTATAAATCGAAGATTAACAGTTTGCAAAAATTCCAATAATTTTGATCATAAGAATGTATTCTATTCAATTCAAAATGATCTTTGCTTTGTAATCCAAATCGCATTAGAATGGTAGACGTTGACAAAACGTCAGGAATGTTTGCGTTCAGTCTAACAGACGACTAAAATATGTGACTCGAATAGCAATTATTTAAAGCGCATACTTGCATTACAAAAAGGTCACATGAGAAGGCCACCCTAATAAGACGGACCTGAATGGTCCATAGTGTTCTCGAACACGTCAGTCTTTATGGCATGCGGTCGACCCAGGTCAAAGGAAGTGGATGGCTTTCGATTCTTTCAAAAATATATACCTGAAATATGATGCAACTTATGACGTACAATCTCTCGTGCGTTTATTCTATAATTTTAATGATATACCTTATCATAGTCCAATAAACACCTGGGCAAATATATATTCTATTTATTTATCATTAATTTCAGTTGATCAGATGGGATTGTTTTTTCTGTACGTTCCAGAAAACTTGGCTTGGACTTGGTACCACGTCAAGGTGCACACATGGTGGACCCAGATACTATGTCTGTCGTTGATCTCTACCATGTGGTAATTATTTGCAATGAACGAATGCATGTGTTCTTAATTAAAGTTACGCGATGACAATTTCAACTGAAATTGTTTGTCTTTTACTATACTAATAAAAGATGTAATATTTTTTCGCAGCATCTACAAAGCGCGGAAAATTCGCAAGGTGCATCAACGAGGGGTACATTGAAACGCAAAGAACACAAAAAAGTATTGACGCATCATCTCTATTTCTGCATGCGAGATTTTGGTCATTCGGTAGGGGAGGACACCGAGATTTATTTTTCCCTTTACGATGCTAAAAGAGGACAATACTTGAGCGAACGTTTTTTGGTCAAAATATCGAAAGAAGGTTTCTCGAATTACGTTGAAAAATTACACAACAATTGTACGATCTTCACGGATCTTGGTAACGCCGATTTGAGCCGTGATCTTTACCTGGTTGCACACGTCATGCGATGCGGTAGAATGTTGTATTCTGACTCCGGTAAAAACAAGGCAGGAAGTGCCGTTTACAGGAGACCTCATGGGGTCGCGGTACTTTCTTTAGCCGATACCACTCATACGGAGGAACTAGAATTACCCTTTAAGGTAAACCATAACTCCCATAGCTCGTTAATCCTTTCACGAATCTACGGTGGATCCTTAACAGCAATCACAAGTTTTCTATACTTGTTTTTATTATAATCCAGGTATACCAAGGCGAAGAGAAAGAATTTCATCAATTGCACGAACAAATTATTCGTAATAATAAATGTACTCCGCTTCCTGGCCAACCAAATTATGGAATAATAGTATCCCTTCGAATATTACATGGTGAATTGTCTCAGGTGCGAGAAGAAAATCCATTATTGTTCAAGAACATTTGTCTTACGAAGAAGCTAGGTTTCTCCGACGTTATAATGCCAGGTGACGTTAGAAACGATTTGTATTTGAAACTCGAACGTGGTGAATTCGAACGTGGTGGAAAATCAACTGGAAAAAATATCGAGGTAAGAATGATCACAGTGTTATTTTATGTATTCGTCGTTTACAAATAAATTTTTGAATTTTTATCTTTAGGTGACTATCTTAGTCTTGGATGCCGAAGGCCAACCATTGGAGGGATGTTTGTTTGGTGCAGCTGGAACCGAGGGTAGTTCAGAATATCAAAGTTTAGTCATTTATCATCACAATAGTCCATCCTGGGCAGAAACTGTGAGATTAGCCATACCCATTGACAAGTTTTATGGGAGTCACGTACGCTTTGAATTTCGTCATTGTTCCAGTAAGTATTCTTTTTTTTTTGAGATCCTTAATATCTTATCCAAGTATTAGATTCGATCTACTTTAACTTGTTATTGCAGCTCGAGAGAAAAACGATAAGAAACTTTTTGCGTTCGCTTTTGTACGTTTAATGGAACCCGGCGGTGCTACGCTTCAAGATGGCACTCACGAGCTGTACATCTACAAGTGCGAAGAACGAGCTAAATTAGATTCACTTAGCTACCTATCTTTACCCAGCTGTGCTCGAGAACCAAGCGCTACAGGTGAATTTAAGATTTATACGTGCCTTGAGAAACTGCAAACCCTCTTCTTCTATGCTCTCAAATTGACGCACGCGCGCTAAAAAAAATCTGCTGTATACTTAAAATATCTACATTTTTCAGGTGCCCCATCCTTCACAAGATCACCTAAAGAAGCTGTATTCATTCATACTCTTCTCTGCAGTACGAAACTAACTCAGAATGTTGATTTGTTGAGTCTCCTTCAATGGAAAGCTCATCCTGAACATATTTCCGAAGCATTAGGACGAGTTCTTAGATTGGATGGCGAGGAATTAGTTAAGTTTCTTCAAGATATATTGGATGCACTGTTTGCGATGTTTCATACCGAGGATGGCAATTCAACGGCACATTCAGGATTGGTCTTTCAAGTACTAGTCTCGATCTTCAGTTTACTCGAGGATTCCAAATTCGAACATTTCAAACCAGTTATGGATGCTTATATTTCTGGACACTTTGCAGCAGCTTTAGTTTACAAAGGTCTCTTAAGTAGCGTACAACACTGTGCTGATTGGGTAACAGCAGCTGAAAAACAGGAACCGATAATGAAATGTTTCAAATCTCTCGAATATATTTTTAAATTTATCATACAAAGTCGATTGCTATTTGCACGTGCCACGGCTGGCCAATTCGAGGATAGTTTTAAAAGAGATCTATACTGTGTTTTTTCCGCATTAAGCAAGATGTTGAGTATATCATACGAAATGGTTTTACAATCACAAATAGCTTTGCTATTATCGATCGCAGCTGTCTTTGAACAATTGGTAGCCGTATTACCTGTTCTCGATGTTGCCAAATTAACGTGTACAATGTTGGACTCGGTACCACGAGAACCACAATTACAATTGATACAAGCTAAATTATTGGCCATCAAAAATCTAACAACGTCTAGCTTGTTTCGGGAAGATGACGAAAGTAGAAATCTTTTGTTGGTAACTATCTGCAGACATCTCAGAATTCACTTGGCCAGACGAGAAGAACTTCGTACTTGCACGGATATACTCGGAGAAATATTGAGTTTTCTTCACAAGAGAGGCAGAGACGCAAACAAGGTTAACAATTGTATTCATCACGACGTAGAAACCTTATGTCTATCGATTTTAGACGTATTGGTACAAACTATACTCATAGTTATCAATGCAAACGGTCCAGTACTTGGTTGCTTAGTTGCCTGTTTGATAGGCTTACTTCAACTTCTGGATGAGTATCATTATTCACGTTTGTGGGAGGAACTGTCGCGTGGTTCAGAACGAAAACCATTAAAAGATTTTCTCGTGAGAGTCTTTTTAGTTTTACGCGATCTCGTTAAGCAAGAAGTATTTCCACCCGATTGGTTGGTCATCAGGATGCAAGCAAACAACGTCATATTGAAATCTTTGCAAGAGCTTGCTCAACCATTAGCCTTTCGGTTTCTTCACAGCAGTTTTGATTCGCAACTTTGGTCAACGTATTTCAATTTGGCCGTAGCTTATCTCACGCAACCGTCGCTACAACTGGAACAATTTTCCGAAGTTAAACGAGAGAAGATTGTTGAGAAATATGGCGACATGAGAGTTCTCATGGGCTTTCAAATATTATCCATGTGGTCAAATTTGGGTGATCGTAAACTCGAATTTATTCCTGGAATGGTTGGACCATTCCTCGAGGTCACTCTCGTTCCAGAAAGTGAACTGAGAAAGGCAACTTTACATATCTTTTTTGACATGATGGAGTGTGAACAACGTGCACGCGGTAGCTTTAAATCTGTCGAGTCAGAACTTATAGATAAATTGGATATACTTATCAGTGAGAATAAAGGTGACGACGAATACAGACAATTGTTCAATACCATGTAAGTTTCAAACCTTATATATTATCTTTTATTTAATTTAAATGAAAATCTATTCATTGCTTGATAATCACGCGTTGCAATTATACTTTCATGCTGCTTTAGGGAACATCTTAGCGCTGTGTAAGTGGTGCCCAATGCACAACGACATTTTTATTTTATTTAACATGATTATTTTATCTTCTCGATGAATTGTTGCAGATTGTTGGACAGAGTTCAATCGGAGGATCCAGCTTGGAAGGACAGTGGTACTGCATTCATCACGTCGATCACTCGTTTGTTAGAAAGACTTTTGGATTATCGTAGCGTTATTCAAGGTGATGAAAATCGTGACAAACGTATGTCATGTACCGTGAATTTATTGGTGAGTTTATCTCAACGATATGACGTGTATAAATATGCAATGTTTGTGAGCAATGAAATTATTATGATGATATTTAAAGTGTTAATCGTATTAGATACCGTTAGCACAGATATCTCTGTAAAAACTGCCACGTGTTGTATGTTAACGAAGCTTGCACATGGCCAGATTTAAATTAATATTTAGCACTTATCTATCGCGTTTGAACGGAAAAGTTTATCGTTTCGTCCAAAGAGCAGTATTTCTACGACTTTCGAACATTCTGGTCATGTTTTAAAAAAAAATATACGTAATGGGTATATTATCGTTCTTCTTGCAGAACTTTTACAAAAATGAATTCAATCGTAAGGAGATGTATCTACGTTACATTTACAAGTTACACGATCTACATCTAGCTGCTGAGAATTACACGGAAGCTGGATTCACGATGAAATTGTATGCCGATCAATTAGGATGGGGTTCGAACGTTTTACCATCTGATCATGAACATCCTCAACAACCTGAATGGCAGAGAAAAGAAATTCTTTATTACAAAATCATTCATTATTTGGATCGTGGTAAATGTTGGGAGAAGGGTATACCTCTTTGCAAGGAATTGGCTATCTTATACGAAACGAGATTGTACGATTATGCGAAATTAAGTCACGTGTTGAAACTACAAGCTAAATTCTTGGATAATATCTTGACTCAACTAAGGCCTGAACCAGAATACTTCAGAGTTGGATTCTACGGTTTAAGCTTTCCACTTTTCGTTAGGGTAAGTGTCTAAACAAATTCTATTAGAAATAAATAAAATGTGAATTGAATTAAAAGCTAATATTTGTATTCACTTATCAGAACAAGCTGTTCATTTATCGTGGTTTGGAATACGAGAGAATAGTGACGTTCACTCAAAGACTGCAAACTGAATTCCCAAGCGCACAAATATTAACGAATAATTCGCCACCCGATGAATGTATTCTATCATCCGAGGGTCAATGTACGATTTCTCAAATTTTCTTCATACATTTGTACAGAGATAATTTAAATATTGAATGTAATTTAAAACTAATCGATATTATTTGTAGACATACAAATATGTAATGTCAAACCGATACCAGAAGAAGGCAGTTTGGCATGTAGCGGTGCAGAAATTCCAGAACGCGTGGTAGCATTTTATATGGTGAATGACGTAAGAAGATTTACGTTTGATCGGCCAATACATCGAGGCCCTGTTGATCGTGAAAATGAATTTAAATCAATGTGGATCGAGAGAACAACTTTGACTACCGAAGCAAAGTTGCCAGGTATTTTGAGATGGTTCGAAGTGATTGAAAAAAAAACGGAGATCTTGGCGCCGGTTCAGTTCGCCTGCGATACGATGCAATCCGTTGAAAGGGAATTGAGAAGACACATAGCTCAATATACGGCTGAACCACACAGAAACATCAGTCCCTTCAGTATGAGGCTACAAGGCATACTCGATGCAACCGTTATGGGTGGAATAGTGAAATATCAAGAAGCATTCTTGACTCCTGAATTTGCTAGGCAAAATCCTGATATGGTACCGCACGTGAATCGACTGAAAAATTTAATACTCGATCAAATAAATGTCCTAGAATCGGGAATGGTTTTGCATGGTCAATTAGCACCGCCCGGTGTTCAACCATTACACAAAAGACTGTTCGAAAGATTTATTCAATTGAAGCAAGGTCTCGGTCCACTTGCCAGACAGCGAACGATTCATCAGGATAGCATAGTCAAGTAATCGAACGTTACATATCCTCTCACCTACTTTTTGTAAATAAAATACACGAAGTTCCATATCATAAAGAAGATATTTCACTGATAAATCCTCATTCTTATTCATTGACGATTTTTCTTTTCCTTTTTATTTTCTATATGTTACATTAGATTGTTGACTTTTCAGTTCACCATTGCCACCTTTACCTATCAGTGAGAAACAACGGCCAGCAACTTTGGAAAACGTAGGTTCGAGAATGTCTCATGCTGAGAGCGATGGTTTGCCAGAAGACGAAAGATTTTATTCTAGAGTCGATGGTGCACCACCACCTATTCCACAAAGAGAAGTAAGACCAAGATCTGTGGGTTATGGGACAACTCCACCTAGACCAACTCATCAAAGAACACTAAGTAAACCATTAAGCCCGAAATTACCATTAAGGCATTCTTTGCCAACTCCAACTGACGGGGTAGATCAAAGCGGTCTGAGAAGTTCTTGGAGCGAGCCTGGTCCAGAATCAGCACCACCATTGCCACCTAGAGGTTGCAGTAAGTTCCCTTCCTCAAAACGAAAACAAATCTGTTAAATAAAATAATAAATTCGAGTTCACATATTTCAGCTCCTGATAAAAGAGACAACAATACTAACACTGTTATACCTCCTGCACCACCAAAACGATTGGCATACAAACGTAATACAGAATGGAGTACAGACGATGATTCAGAAACACAAAATGAACCGGTCGATCTTCGAGACAGCGGGATCTCAACAACTAGTTTATTAGACTTCCAGTCTCACTTAACTAATCTAAATAATCTCAGTTACGAGGATTCTGAACCACGCACAAGGTGTAACGATATAATGAACATTTCACCACCGTCTATGATCAATTCTCTCAATATTTCTACTTGTAGTTTCCCTAGTGGTACATTCCAGAATTCAAATTCTCTTTCTGCTCAGGAGGTAAAATAAAAAATACAAAAATTTGTTATACGATTGAGATCACATTAACATTTTAAATATAAATTATAGGTAAGTCCTCCACCGATTCCTCCCAAAGCTCATCAAGACACCCCATCCGCGCCGTCAACTTTGGAAAGGATGTCAAATCGATCAGGTGGTTACCATGGACACACGGAAAATTATTCCGTACCAAAAATGCAGACCTTGTCCGTGGCATCGGACACAGAGAGTACTGTGTAGCAATGAAATATCTCCTAGTCTTTAGCGATTAGTCATAATATAATAATAATTATTATAATTATAATAATGTGTAAGTGCCATAGTCCGGCAAATCCGATATCTTGAATAGTTCGTTGTTAAGATTAAGTATAATTACAAAAAAATGATTCCGATGATTCTACGATTGGTAATGACGATGGAAATGACAAAAAAAAAATGAATGAAAGAAAGATCGGAGGATTTGTTTGACAAATCATTTGCACAACATTGGAAATATACATATGCAGATAGTATTTAAGATGAGTCTATTGTCTAATGTAATCTAAATGAAATCTTCTATGGCGTAACAACACGAAATGGATTATACCCACCTGCGTATAAAAACGTACCTTAGCAAATGCACCGTGTTCGAGTGCGGTAAATATCGATTGGGCTATTATTTATCTATGATTATCTATACTCGATGATAATCTGTGCCATGCAAAAATAAAAAAAGGAAACTATAAAATAAAACATAAAAGTAACAATAGCAACTGAGCCAAGATCGATAATGAACTAAACACTGGAACAAACGGTGCATTGGACTTTATGTTAAAGACAACGTTCTTCCGAGTATTAACCTAGCTATATTTTGTAATTTATTTATATTTTCAATAAGGAATAAAAAGTCATTTTTATCAATAACGATCATCGACTAGTAGTATATAAATATTCGAGCTTTATATATATCGCGAATTTTCTAATCATTTTTCTTTTTTTTTTTTTTTTCATCGAGAGAGATTATAATAATCGCCATTAAGAAGTCAGAAGGCAAAAGGATTATTGTTCGTCGTAGACGAGGGTATATAAATTATATTTTCTTTTGCACATACTATTTCTTCTTTTTTCTTTTTTTTTTCTTTCCATATAAATATATACAAAAGTACGAAAAACGCGACGCAGTTTTGTACGATGCGATGCGATGCGGTTTGACTTACGTTATCTCTCATGGCATGTAGAAAAGTGGATTGTAAATGCCTACAACGTATATATAATAGAATCTAAATGGTAAAGATTGAAATAGAAAAGAGAGAGAGAAAGAGAAAGAGGAAGTAAAATGTATACATTGCACGAATATTCAATGAAGAAATTAAATTACGACGGGGAGATGATACTAAGTACACTAATGATAAGATGAGCTAGAGATCAGTTTCTCATCGAGCGTCCGACATTTTTCAATTATTTTTTGATTTTGTTCATATTTTTTAAATGTAATTTAATATAATTTGTATTAACGGACGCTGGATGCCACGTACTCGCAAAAGTTAGAGTTCTAAATCACTCGAATTGAAATAACAAGCATATTCACTATACATATATATATATATATATATGTATAGTTTATATCAACAGGCACTCACACATACGTGCTAATTAAAATATGGCTAAGTTTATAAGTACAGTCATGGCCTCTTCTTTCTTAAAATTTATCGATCTACATCCGATGGCTTACGATTTTGATTTCAATCGTTCGAATTTATTTATCCTCCTCCTCCTTCCAATTATTTTGTTATAATTTATTATTCGAGCGATGGAAATGATCGATCGAAGCCATTTCGATTTCTAATCTCTAATTCTTTTTTTTTTTAATTTGTACGATATCTTTTTGTATACGACTAAACGTCGCGACGACGATCATACGGACGTTTCCGCGTTAGTATCCTTCCTGTAACACAACAAAATAATTACTAAATTAAATCATTCTTTTATATAAACTATAATAAATTTATATTCAAGTAGGATCTTTGAGTGGATTCCAACGTGAGTAGGAATTTTATGGGAAATGCATGCATGCTTACCTCCTCGCTGATCGTTTCATTTGCCAGGGCAAGCATGAATAATAGAAGCAAAATAGAAGATTAGATTAACACGTCCCAGCACCTTCTTTTTCAATGAAAAATATTAATGGAAAAATTAGAGGACTATAAAAATCATATTATTGATCAAACCAAGGAATTGTTGATTATTTTTACTTCTGTATCTACCCATGTTAGGATTGCATCGGGATTGCACCATATTATTATTTTTACTATTTCATTTGTACTCACTCAGTCTCAGTGATCGTCTGTTCGTATGGCTGTTGTTGCTGCTGCTGTCTCAGAGCTGCCAATTCGTTGCTATGTTGAAGATCGTGCGTCAACGAGCTGGACAATATCCTACCACTCATCGGTAGAATAAATTCTGGTGCATCCTCCAATACGGTTGGAGTGATCTTGCCTCTTTTCAAACTTCCATACCTTTCGGAACCACTCATATTGTCGTGTTGAGATCCATGCAAACTTTGACCTCTCTTCAAGCTACCGTACCTCTCCGAACCACTCATATTCTCGTGATTTGAATTCTGAGAATGATGGCTCATGCTCGAAGCAAGAATTCGCGAAGACATCGATAACATGTATGGTGTCGGTGATATCGTATGATCCTCTTCGGCTGTGTACGGGAAAAGATACTTTTCACCAACGTGATGTATCTTTTCTTCCCCTTCAGAATAATTTTCGTCTAACTGACTCTTCTGCGGTGAACTCATCTCAGGATATGGTAAAGGATTTGGACTGGACGTTTTATTAGAGGCCATCTCGTTATCTGACATTGTACCACCTGACCATTGACTTCCTCGTACGTCCATCACTGACAAAAATGAGTTAGAACGTTCAATTATTATATCTATATTATATTTTACTATTATATCATCTAGAATTTATTAGAATAAATTTTGTACCATTGGATGAAAGATAGGCTTCTGGTAATTGGGAACTCCATCTCGGTGCGTAAATCGGTTTTATGTTAGGGAATAATTCAGCATTCGAACAAAGTATGTTCAAGTGTTCGGCAGGATTACTGTGAATGTTTGGAAGATAGCTGTGAGCTACTGGTTGTTGAGCCGAAACACCCATGTTCCTGTGAGATCTCGAAGTAACATCGTCTTCATCAGAACTGTGTGAACTAGCAAGATCTAAACTTCTCCCACCGCCTTCGGCTTGAGAACCGTCGGAATCGGATTCAGAATCTCTCCGTGGATTTCTCGATTCACTTGACTCTATATAATTAATTGATATTATTGTATAATGATCGTTTAACAAAATAAAATATGTAAAAAACAATTTATATACCTTGTCGAGGATGTACAACCGATCGTTGACTCCTGGACGACATGTAAGGGTCTCGATCGCTATTGTAATTGCTGGTTGACGTTGACGTGTGTCTCAAATGTGTATCACTGCGGTAAGGGCTAGAACCAGTTTTATTTGTACTTCGAGAAGTCGTACTACTTGTCGATACACCAACATGAACTCTTCTACAAACTGATTCGGCCCCACTGTACGTAGACGAGTAAGCTAATGCCGATCTCTGCGAATTATCAGACGATTCTCGTTCAATGCATGTTAGTGATTCAAATATCAATGTGATTATAATATTAATTAACATAAGAAACTCACCGAATGACCATTAACATTTTGACTGCTGCTTCCATTGCCCATGCTGCCTTCCAATAAAGGTGCCTTTTTTCCAATACATCTCAAAAGACTCAGGTACAGGTTCCTTCTAACTCTTCCATTGATGAAACAATATCCAATTAAACTGAACGCTGCATGAACGACAATTGCCACACTGAGCAAATACGATAAAGTCGGTGACGTTTCAGAAGCGTTCAACACTGCCAAAGTCCAAATGGAACCAAGCAAGGGCAATGATGCAACGGATAACCAAAGTAATGTTCTCAAGTTACCAAAACCCATAATGTGTTCTTTCAATGTAAACGCTGCTCTTATGGACATTACGAGAATACAGAAGTTAACGAACACTGCCACGCAAACTGGTCCTATCAAAGACCAAATTACTGTTTCGTATATCGACAGCCAACAACTGTAAATTAATATAATAAATAATATGTCTACGAATGATTAATTAAAAATTGTATATAAAAAATAATTCAAACATGAATTCTTACAAGTAGAAATTTCCGTATTGATCCGCCCTGACACCGATTGTCAAACCAACGATAACTGCAGGCATGCCATAACCCATTGTATAATAAAATCTCATCTGTCCATGATTGACATCCCTCATTTCAGTGAGCATTCGATAAAGATGAATAGAATCGACCAAAGTCCAAGCAAAAGTACTTAGCCAAGCGTAATGCAAACCAATAGCTGTTAATTTACATGGAAATTCATTGGTGACCAATGGACTTCTTGCTTTCAAAGCTATCAGGTACAACGTTTCGCCGAGGAACACGCAGAGGACGAGATTTTTGTGAATACTGTTTGAATTTGTTCCTGTGCCACGTATCAAAGCTAAAATGAGCAGAGCTGAAAGTAAAAGTGGTAGGGCAAGCATGAAAGCACTGTAACTTGTAACATCCTCTAACAGGGACGGTTCAGGCACGTATTCGAGATCGAGTACATCCGTTAACACAGCGAAAGTCGACAACTGTAGGCAGGAACAATTGACAATCGAACCATATGACAAGCTATTGTCCTCCACTTCCGTTGTACACCCCATTCGACTCCATTCTCCAGTTCTGTGTGTATAAAATGAATATAAAATTAAATAACTTGTCATATTCAAACAAATCGAACACTATTGATTTTACTTACCCTCTTGCAGTACTCCAATGAACACACTGTGGATTGGTCCTTGTCTTAAAATCGTCATTTTCGCTAAGCCACAGTCTTACTTGAACTGGCGATTGCAATGGAATTCCAGTCAACGATTCGTAACCATTTTTGGACGGTACTAACACAGATACAGTCATCACAGGTGATCCTACTGATACTTCAACACCCCATCTAACAGCCACCGAATCATCGAATCGTTGAGGTAAAAGGGAGCCTAATTCTTTATATTGCACGTAACTCAATACAGCTTTTTGATTGTTTAAACTATTTTTCACGTTCAATTCTCCCTGAACCAATGGTTTAATACCCAGTATACTCAAAGGTACTTGTATCTTAGAATGAGTGTCGAATCTTTTTGGATCTGCCATGTAATTGTTGTACTTTGGAAAACTTATCGATGGTCCGAAGTGTGCAGTTGAACTTAGAAAGGTTGAAGTATCGGGTAAAACAACTTTTCGATCAGCTTCCGATGGTCTTGCAGTGGACATCGAAGGATCCTCTTTGTATTCTGATGCTTCGAAACCGAAAAGACTTTCGGAAGTTACTATATCCAATCCCAGTATTATATTACGATCAACTACTTCGAAGGGACTGGTAAAAGTATCATGCTGAGATGAAGTCAAAGTGTTCAAATATTTAGCCATTGCGTTCATAATTTTGTCTGGACTGTCGCCGTTGAGAGATTCGATTCTTATCCAATTTTCGATATATTTCTTCTGTAAAATTGCACTAGCTATGCCAGCAAGATTAGCCACGTAATCTTTATCTTGACTGTGAGTCAGGTTAAGACCAATGAGACTCTCCTCGTAACGAAGCAATGCGATTAACAGAGATTCTGCAACGAGTAAATCTGCACCGTACATGTTTTTCGTCATGTTGGCAGCATCATGTACGTCCTTTGCTAATTTCACAGCTACATACGTATTTAACATAAGATCTTGAGCCTCTAAAGCAGCTAATTGATGTCTCTGTTCAACGAAAGCTTTTGATGTGCAATTAAAAAGATCGGGTGGTTGCCATCCTCCAAGTTTATCATCGCAAGATCTCGAAGTTTTTCCTTCGGCTGTGTTGGGACAATCTTCGATAGCTGTCATTCCAAATTTAGTCCTAGGCCACCATAAACCTTCTGCATAAGACCTTGGACAACCATCATAGATCACCTCGCAACCATGTAAAGTTACTTCTGCATATGGATTTGGACAAGCTGTACAAGATCGGCCGATAACACCAACACGACAACGACACTGACCAGTTTCTGTATCGCAACGTGGCCCGAAACTTCCAATCGCATAACATCCACAGGGAATGCATTCCTTTTGACCCGGTGGTTGATAATGGTTCTCTTTACAATAACATTCACCAGTTGTTTTATTACAAGCTGGATCATAGCCTTTAGATTCGTCACAATGACATGGTCCACACACCGGTGATCCCCACCATGTTGCTGGACAAGGTTGATCAGCTTTTATCTCGCAATAATCTCCAGAGTATTCCGGTGAATTGCATTCGCATCTAAAATTAAATAATTAAATAAAGTATTAATTAAAAATATATATAAGTTTAAAACTATGAAAATGCAATAAAAATTTACGTACTTGTATCCTCGGTGAAATTCTTTATCCTCGATGCAAGTACCAGTATTGTTACAAGGATTCAAATCACAAACAAGTTCGCAATTTCGTCCAACTCTACCAGCTGCGCAAACGCATTCACTTGCTTGCCATTTCGTCATACAAATCGATGCTTCGGGACAGTCTATGCTGCAGACTGCTTCGGATATGCAGCCAGTTTCGACATTCTCTTGAACGGTCGGTCGTTGCAATACACTTTGGTTTGTACCGATTCTAAGATCTTGTAGACAACCATCGTAGAATGGTAATTCAGTGTTTATCGATTGATCTGGACCACCAACTAAAATTCTGCCCACGTAGAGTCCTTGTAATTTCGCGGGGAGAACTGAAGTCAAAGGTTTATCGCGATAGTCCATGTCGAGAGAAACGTGGCCACTTTGCCAAAGTACTTCGAGCCTGTGCCATTCACCATCAGCAATGTTATTCCAAGTTCTAATGATGTCTGTGCCATCCAACGAAGCAACCAGTTTTCCATCGCGAATCTCCAACAGAACCGAACTATTCTGTCCAATTTGTACTGCCATAACGAACGCATGTTTTGCTCTTGTTCTTAAACTGAGTGCCGTCAGCCACGGTAGTTGAATTGGCCTGAGAAGTGGATTGAAATTCAACAAACCATCGCCGTGAAATTTCCATGGCTTTCCAACTTCTTCTTCGCATGTTGGTCCAGCGAAATTTTCGGTACACTCGCAAATGAAACCGTCCCAGACTTCACGACACTCGCCGTTGTTTTTGCAAGGAAGGGAAGAGCAAAATGCATTCTTTTCTGGACAACCAGCGTTGGTACCATTGTCTGCGACGAACGAATTAAGATCGACAAATACGTGATCGATGTAAAGATCACTGATACACCCAACAAAGTCTTTAGTTCTAACTGGAAAGTTTGAAGGTATGGCAGGTAAGCCACCTAATTGTAAAGGTCCTGTTAAATCTAAAAATCGATGACATGTCTCGGTGATAAGACTGCAACGATCTTCGAGTACTTGCTCGCTTCTTCCGGCACAAGCCCATTTCGGACCTAATCTTTCACCGTGTTCTAATGCCAAAGCAACATCACAGTTGTCCAAAGAAATTGTTACTGTTTTGTTAATGTAAGATACTTCGACTTCGTGCCATTGTCCGTCGGATACACCTCCAGGGATTTCAGCCGATGCTCTGGTAATCTCATCTCCAAGCGAGAAACTAAATTGTACATGCGATTCGATTATCTCCAAGGCCACGAAATCATGTTTTTCGTTGTAACGACCATTGTAAAGAAGCAGACCATCGGATGATTCCGTAGCAAATCTGAGTTTCACGTGAAGTCTGTGACGTTGTTTTAATGAGCCGAATGTAAGAAATGTTGCTGGTCCAAAACTACGAGCTTTCAGTTCGCACAAGGGAGTAACATTTTCTAAAGCTCTTACGGGACATCCTTCACAAGTAAATCCTCCTGTGTTCTTAATGGTGCACTGTGAACCACCTTTACAGATGCCTGGTTCGCAAGCATTTTTTTCCAATGAAATTTGACAATTTTCTCCGATATAATCGGATGGGCAAGAACATGCGTATCCGCCTTCTCTTCGATAACAAGTTCCACCGTTCTGACAGGGATTAGAATAACATAAATTCACTTCTGTATCACACAAGTATGCTTCTCTGCTACCAGTAAAACCTTTAGCACATTTGCATGCGAATGTGGTGACTGGATAAATTGGTCGAAAGAGAACTGTATCGCTGCTAGCAAAACCAGAAGCATTTCCGAATTTTAATACAGTTAAACACTCCTCAAAATTAAGACAAGGTTCCCTTACGCAAAGATTATCGTCGAAGGGTAACACTGTGACAGTTGCAAGCCTTGCCAGAATTCCTCGATTTAAATAAACTCGTTCTTGAAGAAACTGCGGACTGTAAAACTCTTCGGATGTACCTGGTTCAACTTTACGAGCTGAGAAACTAACGTTCAATATTTTCCCTTGCACATTTGCATCCTCTTGAATGCTAAATAAAAAGATGTTTTCTCTTGGACAAGGTATAATGGCAGCAAGACCATCTAAAAAATATCCTAACAGCGGACTAAGAAAAGCTTCAACCGTCATATCGTCAAGTCTGACTGTTATCGAATTCAAGAGCATCTCGTCTGTGATTAATCGTACTGATAGAGTCATGGTAGCCTTTGCTTCATTGACACCATCAGTTACTGATACCTCCATCGTAGCAACTCGTGGTACATTTGTATTTAATTGTGGAGAGAGACGGATTTCGCCTGTCATTTTATTCAAATCTATTAGATTGGCATTATTACCAGCGAGAATGCTGTAGACCAGTTTATCGGTAACGTCGGCATCTACAGCCGGTATCTTGCCAATTGGAGAAGTCGGGAAAAAATCTTTGAAGTTATTGAAAATGATTTGAAAATCTTTCAGTACTGGTGCATTATCGTTGACATCTGTTACCATAATTTGCACTAAAGCATCCGATCGTAATGGTGAGGAAGCTGCTCGAACAACTAACTCGAATTTCTTCTTTGGTGATTCATAATCAAGCTCTTCAAGAGTAACCAGTTCTGCACGATCACCACCTGGTCTAACATTCAATGCAAAACTTTTGGAATCCTCACCACCGATAACAGAATAAGTGACAACAGCATTGGATCCTTCGTCAGGATCGTGGGCGTAAATCTCGCCCACGGTCGAACCCACTGGAGAATTTTCAGCGATATAAAGTATGATTTTATCGTTTTCAAATGCCGGAGGGGAATCATTGACGTCCTCGATTTTTACAATGACTGGTACCACCGAAGATAACGATGGTGAACCTCTATCTGCAGCTACGGCTTTCAGAGTGTACCTTGCTACGGATTCTCGATCCAATGATTTGGAAGTTCTTATTATTCCTGTGGTTGGATCTATCGCGAAGGCATCGTCTCCATTATCTTCTAATGCGTATCTTACCTAAGGTAAATTCAAATTAATATAATTTTCAAATAGAACAGATATTTATATTTTACATATACAGACGAATAATCTTACCCTGCCATTGAGATCTATATCTTCGTCGGTAGCAGAAACTTCGAGCACACTCGTGCCAACCAGAACATCTTCAGGTATCGAACCTTGGTATTGAGGAGCTTTAAACACTGGTGCATTATCGTTAACGTCGGTGACTGATATCTCGATGTCCGTGGTATCAGATAAAGGTGGAACACCACCATCTCTAGCTGTTACAGTTAACACGTAGCCTGGAACTTTTTCACGATCAAGTGTTCGAGTTGTAGTAATGGCACCGGTCTGTGCATTGATCGTAAACTCTGCTGCTTCTTGTTCACCTCCGTCCGTTCCAAGACTATAAGTAACTTGAGCATTTTTACCAACGTCGGAATCGGTGGCACTGACCACCAAAACAGTCGTACCAATTGGTGCATCTTCAAACACCGAGACCGAATAGGGAGCATTTTCAAAAACTGGTGAAAAATTATTTGCATCGGAAACGTTCACGTAAACCAAAGCAGTGTCAGTTCTTCCACCACTGTCCGAAGCTGTTACAGTCAATACAAATCTTTTTTCCTGTTTATAATCTAAAGGTTGAGCCACTGTAATTAAACCGCGTCCATTCTGAAATGCTATAGAAAATCGACCTCTTGTATTGCCTGCAGTTATCTCATAATGTATCTTTGCATCTTCGTCAGGATCTGTTGCGGTAACAGATGTCACAGGAGTGCCTGGTGGATCATCTTCTGACACTACAGCCTCGTAATTTTTTGGATCAAAGGAAGGATCGTTGTCGTTTACATCGGAAATTGTTAAAATGACAGTGGCACTTGCGGATTTTGGTTCCTCGCCTGAATCTGAAGCGATTACCGTGAATTGATACCTGTGGAAATTAAAAAATCAATCCAAGTTCTTACTACAATGCTACAAGATCAAAATAATTACCTAGAACATAATTCACGATCTAATTGTTTAGTAGTGTAGATCCAACCAGTATCAGGATTAACAGTGATGGGAAAATTTTCTGTAGATGCGCCGGTGAAGTCGCGAGAAGCTATGACATATTTAATCTGTGCATTAACACCTTCATCAGCATCGTAAGCCTGGACTTTGAGTACCGTATAACCGATTGGAACGTTTTCAGCAACTGCATCTTGGAAATGACTGGTGTAAAATCTGGGTGCATTATCATTGACGTCTTTTACGTGAACCAAGAGTTGAGTAGTGTTTGATCTCGGTGGTGTTCCACCGTCTTGAGCTCTTATGACGATTTTATAACTCCTCATTGATTCGTAATCCAAAGGCTTCACGAGAATAACATCCCCACTCATATTATCGATGGAAAAAGGACTTTGTGTGTTACCACCGATAATAGCGTATCTTACAGCAGCATTATTGCCCGCATCTGCATCAGTTGCTCTTATCCTAGCCACGATCGGATTCGAAGTATAATCAAGATCCTCTGGTAATGATACAGAAAATGTACGTTCAGTGAACTGAGGGTAATTGTCATTGTCGTCGAGAACACGAACGATCAGAGTGGCATTCGAGGTTTTACGTATCGATGGTGGAGTTGCCAAGTCGGTAACGCAAAGTATCACAGTGTAGATCTCGGTTTTCTCTCTGTCGAGTGGCATCCTCGTAGTAACTACACCAGAACGTGGATCGATTCTAAAGGTCGAGGTATCTTCAGCGTGAACAGTTGTACCACCACCGCTTGTCGAAACGATCGAGTATTCGACTTCGGCATTTCTGCCGGTATCCTGATCGGTTGCTTTTACTATAACAACAGTCGAACCAACTGATACACCTTCTCTAATCGATGCATCGTATTCTGGCCACTCGAAGGTGGGAGCATGATCGTTCGCATCTAAAACGTTCACTTGAAGTGTCGTAGTACCTGTCCTTGGTGGAAACGAATCGTCCACGGCCAATACTCGGAAGTAATGAACATTGACGTTTTCTCTATCCAATCTAGCACGTGTGGTTACTCTACCAGTAATTGGGTCTAATACCAACAATGTTTGAGAGCGAGAATCCAAGATAGGACTCATGGAATATCGTACTGTACCACCTTCGGGATCTCTAGCACGAACAGACGTCACGTAAACACCTGGTTCCTTTTCTTCTTCGATCGCTGCGACGTAGAGAGGTTGCTCGAAATACGGTGATTGATTTTTTAACTCTCTTCTAACTCTCCTACCAAGATCGGTATCGTCCAGTTGACGATGATGGAATACGATCTTCAAACGATGTTCCGCATCTGCTAAATGAGACTCCGCTTCACACCTCAAATACATAGACACAGAAACCTTCCATAAGGGATCTACCAGACACTGTTCCGAGGCCGAGACTAAATCTCCACCTGCTCCTTCGATCAAAAAACGAGGATCCGCGACACCACCCCATCTGGTCTCACATTCTTTCAATGCAGTCTGTGGTAGAAAATCTCGAAGAGCTGCGACGAGTTGCGAAGTTCTCAAACAAACTTCGATAAACCTGTAGGTTCATTGATTTTATTAAAAAATGAGATCGAATTTAATATATTATAAAACGAGTAAACAAACGATTACCTTTCCGTAGTTGGCATAGCATAAGAGGCCAAGGTCTCTGCCATCCATCCTCTGGTAGCAGCAAGATCTCGATTTTCTTCCCCACAACCAGTTATCAATATTCTCAATGGCAAACTATAATAATCGATGGTTGGTCTGCCTAATCTCGAACTCGTGGAGTCCACGTAGAAGGTAAAAATTCGAGGATATTGAAGACCTTCGCAACTTAATTGCTTAGCCAACGTCACACGACCAGTATGTGGATGAACTTTGAGAAGTTTCCTTGCGAACCATGCTGTACGTTCGTCGGAAACTTCGTACTTTCGACGACCACCTAACTGCGGTACTCCTGCCTCGAAAACAATAGTACCAACTGGTGTACTCGAGGATAGTACAGCTAGGTAACCTTCCACGAGTGGCCATAGTGTCGCCAGACACACAGGCAGAATCCATTTCCAGCTTGCCATTACACCCTCTTAATACTTCTACCAAGCTAGCCTTCACCTTGTATCTTCATCCAGGTGTCCGTCGTCCCATCCTCGCCTACGTTCTTCTTTCTTCTTCCGGGTTCAATGCACTGCCATCTTTTACTATCTATAATTCCAACAAATATTGATTATTTCCTTCACTTTCTTCAACAGTACTATTGCCATTTCATATATCAAACTATACATTTTTACGGATAAAAATGTATTTGTACTGATCGTTTAAAAAAATCTACAAAGTATAAATATATATACATCGTGAGAATATAAAAGTTTACACGCAAGGATATCGTATCCTTTCAACCGTTCCTACGTGCTTGCAATTTACTAATTAATACTCCTAATAAGGAACTTACGAGGCAACAGCTTTTGCAGAACAATCGGTGCATCTTGAAATTCGCACGAGATCGAGATAGGCTAATGCGAGTATGATATTTTCTTGTTTTTCCCCCTTAGAAAGTTATCAACAGAATACATTTACGAAGGACAGAATAAAATTGTCATCGAGATATCGTTTATTCTTTTCTGATATTCTCAGATTTCAGAATATTACGGTATCACGTTACGAGTCTCCAATGTAATAGGAGAGATCAAGAAAAGCCGTTCACCTAATTCCTAAGCTACATACTTTTATCCTCTAGAAAGAATCAAGCTAAATTCATTAATCCGAACTATTCAGAGAAATTTCTCGCTGTGCAAGTCATATTTCCCCCCTTTGCTCTTTTACAGAGAGTATTTAACCCGCCCCAGAACGTGATTCCGTCGAGGAAAAACGTGGGAATACGTACTTCCGTTTTACAGTTCTCTGCACCTTTCAAAGTACCTCTAACAGGGCCAAGAGAAACGCTATTTTTATTTAACTATCCTCCTTCCAACATAAATTACATTATTTTCAATAGAAAAAAATACAAATTGATATAACCAATTTTGAACTAAATTAATTCAACACAACGATTGATCTAATCTAAAAATAAAATGAACTATTACCTTTACCTATAAAGATTGTATCTGTTTTTATTAGAAAATAAATGAAACAGAGAAAGATAATCTACTACTAGATCATAGTTTCTATAAAATAATCAAACAGAGCGAGCAAATAGAATCGAGGACGGTAGGAGCAGCCACTCGAGTCGGTTTTTTTAATTTTATTTTATGTTCATCTTATTGTCCGGTTGAGTTCGTTCGTTCGTCCCCTAAGAAGAAGATTCTCGCACTCGGCTAGTTGACCGCGTCTGTTCTGGATGCACCTCGCCCGGAGGGTATAAACGATCCGGTTCTCTCCAATCCCAATGGCCGATGTACCACCAGCACCAACCAATCCCTACGTTTTCAGCTTAAGAACAGGTAGACGATAGACTAACATGACCGAGGAGCACTCTACCTCGATCGAATAAAACGAGAGATACGAATGAAAAAGATATACTAAAGGACGAGGAGTCCAATGAAGAAAGGGGGGAAGAGAGAGAGGGAAAATCGTAAAGGGCCGTCTCATCTCGTTTCTCTTTTTCACGGCCGCTACACACCACTATCTCTGTCGATTCTCTCGCGTTATTTTACACGACGTGCATCTACAACACACATAATTGATCCTAATTCTTATCGATCGTATTTTAGATTACAAGTCTACCTACACTATTTATAGTATAACGTATAATTATAATAGTTATATATATATACATAGAAAAAGTAATGTTTTTTTTTACAATAATTTAAACGCGAAATATTTTTTTCGTCATAGGTGCGAACAAGTATCCAAATTCTTTTGGAAGATCGAAGGAAAATTTCTAAGAATGCTATAATATCTTGACGCTACTGGCCGTGAAACTATTAATTAAGCTGAGGATGGTTGAAGACCAAGTGGAATCCGGTCCAAGCAATTATCTCGAAGGAACCTTTCGAAAGTTGTTACGTTGTCTGTCTGCTGTTTTTTTTATTTTCGAAGATTGTAGCCTCATTCGAAAAGGGCCTCTCTAAAAAATAAATTATCTATCTTTTAATAGCTATCATAGAGAAAGAGAAAGCGTACAATTACAGAATAAAAATCATTGATGATATTTTGGTTGTTCTTTAAAGTGAATTTATTGCGAGACCACAGAAATATTTCCTTAAAAAAAAATAAAATAAATAATCGAGAATAATACTACTTGGTAATTTTTGGTTGTATAGATAAAACCATACAAATGAGTCTCGAATCACGAATACTTGTCATTCGAAACGACTTGGAAGAAGATGATCAAGCTTACAATTCGACCCTTAGTCTAAGTCCTAAAAGGTCCCTTCGAGAATTTGACCCTTTTTTACTGTAAGACGTAGGTGTCATCTTCTTTTCTATCTTTATTCCGATTGACTATGGTTTCCTCGAACTCGAACGACTACGTCCAATCGATTTTGAATTAGTTCAAACGACCGTAAAAGCTAATTACCTAACACGTACCTTTGTAAACTTCATTCTTAGAACGCGTGGATACGTTTTAATGGTACTAACTGACCCGTAACTTGTTATCAATCGACCGTTGTTATAAATATCATCATTTATCAATTAGAACTACTTTTTTTTTCTTTAACAAACTGTAATATACAAATTGTCGGAAAATAATTCATACTTTCTATCTTATTTTTTCCAAAGACTTGATATTATACTTAATTTGTTTCGAAATTAAATTGTAAAACAAATAATTCCTCGTGATTTGTAGACTAGAACAATCCCGTTTTTTTATACGATGAGTTTGAAAAGAAACTGACAATCCTTGCTTGAAATACACTTGTCATAGATCAACGAATTGATAATAGACTTTAATATAATTCTTACTTTCTCTAATGGTATTCAACAACCAAGAAGACTATAGAAATCTTGCCAGTCACGCAATAACGCATCTACAATTGTTTCTATGTGTTAGTAATAATTTAAAGAAATATCACTTTTTTACAGTGGTGTATTTTCAATATACAAAAGTGATTTTTTGTCAAGAAATGATATGAACGTTTTGCCAGGTGGATTAGAAGAAAAATTTTAGGGTATACAAAGAATCGATACAAAAATTAGGGAGAAACGTTGAAAGCTTCTTGGTAAAGTAAAAAAGAAACAAAAAAGTATGCACGCCATGGTAGATTCGCCGGAAGGGAAGTTTTGGGTAATGTCTGGACGTCGTCGGCCTTCTCTCTCTCTTCTTCTTCTTCTTCTTCTTCCTTTTTCTTTTTCTTTTATGTTTCAACCCTCGTCCTTTTTTGTTCGTTCATCTGCCTCGAACACGCGAGGGACGGCTACGCGTAGCTATTACAATAACCGGTGTACGACGCGGTTCTCCTCTTCTTCCTCAAGGCCACGACAATCAAAGTCGAAAAGATATAGGCGTGCACCTTGCCAAGAGAAATAAGAACAAGATGAAGAACATTTACATGATTACGAGTACGATGAAACCTCGTTTTTTGTTCACTCTCTCTATTACAATCTACTATTATTTTTATTCCTAACCAAATTTAGATTTAATATCTAATATGAGCTATTTTCTAGCAACTTGAGACGATTTTTAAAAGTACAAAGGTTTAATATATTTTTGATCTATTAATTATTTTAATTATAACGAATATAAAAATGTCGATGACAATCTTGTGAATAAAATAACTGTTATTACTATTACCGTAAATCTTTTCCCATGAATGATATTTCATGTTAAGAATGAAAGAACATATTTTTCTAGGCAAATTTTCAAGTTGTTAGAAAAGGCGCGTTGTCCGATCACAATATAAACCGTTAGGTGGAACGCAATAGTACAGACTGTAGCTTCCTTAACGGTGAGTTACAGGAAGAGATGAAAAATAGAAAAAAACAACTCGTGGATATTATACCTAAGACGTATTCTACTATATAGAAGAAAAATATCTAAAGAATATACTCCGGAGACAGGGTATTAAATTTTCTATCAATGATTGAAAGAAAAGAAAAAAACAAATGTTAAAATAAATATGGCATTTCGTTATAATCTGTTATCAATTTATCGTTAATTGCTCGTAGCGTCCAACGGTGAACTAAACGAGTAAATAAACTCATCAGACCATTAAATCTGTTTTACCCTAGCGAATCAACGGTTTTCCTCCTTCTTTCTTTATTTCTTATGAAGTTCTTTCAAGAGATTAGAATCAAATCTAAGTGGTCATAATAAATCACACGGTCTCTTTAACTTAAATTAGTATAAAAACTATTTACTATTTATAATTAACGTCGATATTCCAAATTGAACTTTGAACGTTTGAAATTCTTATATATATATATAAATTTTTGAAAAAAGAAAATATTTAACTAAAAGTATTAAATACATTGAATATAAATACTTAAAGAAAGAGAAAGAGAGAGACTTTAACGAGCAAATAGAACGTATGCTGCACAAATTAAAGTCTCTCGATCTACGAAGAAATGTATTCCCTTTTGAATTCCATCGTAATCCGAGTAATAAGGCTTCAGTAATCGAATTAAACCGATGATATTAACGAATATCTGTCTCTCCTTCTTTTCTTTTCTATTCTCTCCTTTCATTTCTTCTCTGATTTCATTTTAGCAATCTAACGGCTTCCTGAATTCTAGTGTGACTCTCGTTTTTCTTCCTAACAGTTTTACCTATTAAATATAAAAATCAATTAATCAATGAACATATATGAACAAAATATGAAATAACAATTTAATTTATTTTCTCAATTTTCTACAAGTAAAATTCTAAAAGTAAAATCACGAGAGGATTGTTTGAAATAAATAAATAGAATAAATAAAAAAGATGTGGATAGATTGTTTCTAGCAAGTGATTTGACGAGGATTCAACGACGTTTGCCAAGGGTTCAATGATGCTCCTTGTTGTAAAGGAAACTTGAAAAGCACTCGTGTGCATTCTGTACACCGTATCAGTCGCAACTGTACCATGGACGAGATGCCTGCCGCGGATAAAGGTTTCACGGAAGAACGTTCAATTTTATGGAACCTGTTCCCACCGAGAGAGACTCCATCTTCTCTCTTTTTTCTCTTCTTTTTTTTCCTCTCTTTCTCTTTCTCAAACGGGTTTACTTAGATGCATACATTTCATGGTTGTACGCATACGAGGGACGCCTTTAAAGCTCGTAAATTAACGTTTCATCGTTAAGAGTCTTAACCAGAGAATCCGAAAATTTGTAATATCTTAATTAAACTCTGCACCTCCAAGTGAAATCAACAAAATTCCCTAATTCTATATTCAAAAAAAAAAAAAAAAGAAAAAACAAATATCAGTATAATTGGCGATTAAATAATTATTACAACTATACAATCGTTAATTATAAATCGAGTTATCTAACATATTTGAATACAAAACAAAAAAAGAAATAAATAAAAATCGTATTACACGTTAACTCTTATCTTCATCTGTCAATATGTTGTCAGACCAGCTTATATACATATTCTTTATTTTATTTTATTCAATTACTTCATCTTTCAAGCATCCATGTTCAGCAACTATCCTTCCTACTTATCGCGTATCTCGCAATAACTCATAAATGGCAGGCTTGTGCAGATTTTATAAGAAGTTGCGATATCGACAAGCCATTTTATAATTTTAAATAATCATCCGAGTAATTTGTACTAACACAAATAGAAAATACAAATGAGAAAATGAATTTATTCTAAAAACAAAAACTACTCTCCTTTAGGGTAGATCGATGAGACTACTCTTCTCCTCCCTTTTTTTTTTTTTTTTAACGAGGGAGGAAAAGTGAATAGAAACGAAAAAGAGAAAGAGAGGGAGAGAAAGAGAGAACAATTGAGTCGAGAATTGAAGCGGTTTACGCTTCACCACGAAAGAGTACCTTCGAGTTTTCGAACGTATGCGCGTGACGCTCATGAACGCATCGAGCTCGAGTAGAATGAAGAGAAGAAAGGAGGGTAAGAAGGAGGAGAAAAAAAAATAAAAAAGAAACCAGAGAATAGAGAAGTCATTCTTCTCCCTTTTTCTGGCCAGGGGTGAGTGACTCACAAGCTGTAGCTTCGACGGTGCACGTCGGGACGCCTACCCTCCAAATATTGATTCGCTTGGTGCTGCGAATGAACGCGTAGCGAGTCAACCCCTACTTGTCTTCCTTCCACCCCTACTACTCTCTCTCTCTCTTTTTCCACATACATCAATCTTTCTAACCGGTTGAAAAGTGGGGGGTAACAAACAAAAATTAATAAAAAAAGAAAGAAACTCCAACGTCGGTATTTTATACTGAAATTGTTACAAACAAATTAATTTAATTGATGTAACAATTTATAATAATTATTGTTTTTAAGAAGGAAAATCTTTTCTAGATGATTGATCTTCAGTTAAGAAAGCTTTGATTACCAGCAACGTTTAATTGGAGTGTACAAAAAAGGGGAACAGAAACAGTAATAAAGAAAGAAGGATCTAAGGGTCTCGAGTCTGTTGAACTTCTCATCGGTATTTCTCGGTCTTCCTCGGGTTCTCTTTTATTTTCTTCGCCCTCGATTTCACCCCCCACTTTTATATAAACGAATGGTGGGTGGTTGGTTGCTCCTGCGAATATCGACCGACGCAATTTCTATGTCCATGCTCGACCATACTTCGTATCTTTCAAAGAATGAATGGATAACGATAATGATGATGATGACGATGATGAAAAGAACTCTGATGAGTCTACGATCGATCCTTTACATCTTTTATTATAAATAATTATTTTCATTTATAATCAAAGAAATAAAAAAGATATACAACAACAACAACAGCAACAACAACAACAAAATGATGAAAAAGTTGATGAGTTGTCTCTCACGTTTTTACCAAGCTCTCCAGTCTTTTCTCGAGTGAAAAAAATGTTGAGAGAAGAGGATTGAAACTAGCGTCGGTGTTGAGACCACTCGAGAAGTCGTTACTCCCAAGAGAAGGACGTCGAATTGGAATAATATAAGAGAAGAAAACGTCTCTACATGATGTAGACCAATAGAAAATATTAAAACAACACTATAATTATAATATTAAATGACTAAAAATAGTTAGAAAGTAAACTTCATCAAAACGAGTCATTATAATAAAACGATATTATCATTTAAAACCCTCTACGTTCCTTTTTTCATTCTTTATTACATTTCACGCAAGTCTTCCCGTCCTGTCTTCCCGTGGGAACTTGGAATGAACTCTGAAGAAAAAGAAAAGTCAAGTATAATCTAAAGGAAGGAAACATAGGCATAACTTAGCCGCGTGCGAGCGTAAAGATCTAAGCATGTCTTTCTTTACAACTCTGGTATAGATATCGTACAAGGACGAGAAAGAAAAAAGGACTCTGATAATGTTCAAGAAAATGAATTAAAAAAGAGTAAAAGGTCACTCACCGATCTGTCAAGGTCATCCGTTGCTAAATCCTTCATATTTCGAGTAGCTCGTCCACGGTGTCGATTTCAAAATCCAGACACACTTTCACTCCAAGGACTCATGAAAGATCAATCAATTTGAATACTCGGCGTACGTATGTATGTGCGACGGAGAAAGAGAGAAGCTACGTTCTACCCCTTTTATTCACGTGTACGAGTTCACTTAGAACCGGTTCGCAAACTAACATTGTTTTCTTCTTTTTTTCTTTTACCCAGAAAGACGGTGAAAGAGAAAGATCTTCTTTTCTTCAAACACTCTAAGATTTTTCCTTCAATTGCTTTGATCACCTTTTTAGATAAGTGGGAGGGAAAAAAGAAACAAATTAATTATTTCACTTTCTTTTCTTAACGTTAAAATAAAGTATTTTTTGAAAAGAACGATGAACTCCTGTTTGCGAGGATGCACGAGGTCCTTTTGAAAAAACTTGAAAAAATAAAAGGTAAGACTCACTTTGTAAGCCGGCTGTGCCAACGACAGCGTCGCGATCGTACTAACGTCTCGACTGTCTCTTGCACGAGGCACACGCGCGTCCTCCAGGTGCTCTCAACGTTGCCGAAGGCGAACCACCTCTCTACTATACGCGCAATGTTCAAGAGAACCATTGCTATACAGGGAGCAAGTAAAGGTGGAGCCGTCTAGCGGTAGTACGATGATCCTTCAAAATAAAGAACTTGGTCAATACCACAAGGATAGAAGACAACTATCAATTATAATGTTTTTTGCAATAAAAAATCATGAAATTTCTAAAGTTAAAAATGAATGATATATTACACGAATAATATTCATTAAAAAGTAGTTTAAATTTAAATATTTAACCCTTTACTATGTAAGTTAATGAACGTATGATTAAAAAACATATAATATTTTATTGGAATTAACAAAATATTGCAATGAATAATATCTGCATAAAGATCTACGAATTTTTCTTTGAAAAAACCGCGCGTCAATAATTGCGTTAATCGAGAAAGCACTATCATTACTGACAAAATGAATAACAAATAAGTCATGAGAAATTCATGAAAAATGAGAGAGAGAGGGAGGTAAGGAAAGAAGATCGAACGGGACGCGTTTGAAATTCCTGACCGTCTCGTGCGAGGAGTAAGCGTTTCGTACTGAATGCAAATGCGTTCTGAGGAGACGAGGAGAGCATGATTTTGTATATAACAACTATACTATGCTATTCTTTTCAAGAGCAACAAGAGTACATAGGTCCTATTTCGTTCGTTGCGCCACCTGCTATTTTTTTCTCTCCTGCCGATTTGAATGGCTGTTGAGAAGTGCACTTGGCTTTCTTTTGTTTTGATGCTAATAGAAATAAAAGCATTGACTTGATTTGACTTGACTTTTAGGTGTTAGCCTCTTAACTAATATTATTTTTATTATTTTTAACAGTATTTACAACTCCTACATTTAACTGAACGATTTTATTTGATGGAGGAGAAGAAATATCAAGATGGAAGAAAAATAATATCTTTTCGGAAAACTATCGATTGTTCTTGCCCTGATAGCACCGGCTCAAAAAAAATGTCGAGAAATAGATATGGATTACATTGTAAATAAATTGCACGAACTGGTATCTGATCCGGTAACTCAAAATGATGTATCACGAATCTCTGGACTGTTATACGATTATCAGGAATATCTCAGCGATAGCTTACGTATCCTTTTACATGAAATTCAAAAATTAATAAATTATAATTATATTACCTTCTTTAATTATCTTTTCCTATTATTTTAATTAGATGGTAAAACATTTACCAAAGGTAATCAAAGTATTAGATTTCTTAGCAACGAATGCAAAAAGCGCTGAAGATTATCATTCGCATCTCGATCGAATGCTTGAGTTTTCTAATCATCCACCTCTTTTGGAAACATCCTATCAGAGTCTCGTTTGTTTAGACATAATGGAACAATATTTTACATTATTTGGCTATCTATTAACAATCTTACCTAGCGAACAAGAGCTCCTTAAAGTGCACGAAGCCCTTCGTTCTTTATTAATCAGGACTGTGCCGGCTGATTCTTCCGTAGTCAAGGCTGAACTTTGTCGTGCTGCCATG